GATTGAGGAGTTCTCCCTCGCAAACCCTCTGTAGGGTAGGATCCGTGAGGAATTTCAAGAGATTCGAAACATGACTGTTAATGAATTGGGCAGAGGTATCTATAGTTAATGATTTATGGAGGGCTTCTTGACCACTTTTTGACGAAGCTAACCTCTCGATGCAGTCTGGCCTGTCAGTTCTGTTCACAATGGACTCGAGAAACTTTTGTGCATCTCTAACCCCAGTGACTTTCCCTTTCCCTTCAAGTATTCTGTAGAAAAACTTATCAAGCGCTCGAGATCGGAAGCTGGTGTCCTGATCTTGATTTGGTGATGGCCCGCTAGCAGCTGCTTGGTATGACATCGCGCCGTCGTCAATAATGAACGAAATTACCTAACTGGACAGAAGATTGGCGTAGCTCTAGGATAAAGAAAGGACATTACTTCTATAAAATAAAGTAAAGTAATAAGGCAAACAGTTGAGACTTTCTATTAGGTAGTTGTAGTGATAGAGTAGATGCCCCTCGGTTTTCGAGTCTCTTTGTCTCAAACGTGTCTTTCGAACCGGTAGGCCGCATTATCTCATATCTCATATCTCACATTTCTATGGCCAACCTGCATTACATGTAACACAGTACCATGCGGGATTCAACTCAATAATATAACGGCTCTCTATCAATTGGCCTAAGTGCGGAGTAAATTATGCCTATCATGCGGGCACACGAGCACAAACACGTAAATGCGCGAACGCGCAATAGAGAAACCGGGGGATTCCTTATGCTACTTGATACTACTTGAGGCCAACACATTCATCTTTAGGCACACTTACCGCAATATCCGCAACTGGTGTCACACGCTGTGAAATCTAACGAGAAATTATCATCAGAATCATCCGATTCGTCAGATTCTCCCTTCCGAGAAAGCAGGCTGGGATAACTGTCGTCCTCATCCTCATCACTCAGGCAGGCTGTGCCATCGCTTCCTGGTCCATGATTCTGCCTAGCCCATATATCCCTCCAATCACTTGGAAGTACTTCCCGAGGTTTACCGGCTTGCTCTCTTAATTCGAGTGGTCCTGACTCAGTTCGACACAGTTCGAGCTTCAAATGACCTGCCCGTTTGACCTCAACAATTAGTTGTCGTAGAATGGAAGAGAACTTTTGAAGTTCGGATTGATGGTTATTTTCCCAATCAAGTAACTCTTGCTCGACGGCTTTTTCTTGAACATCTTCAAAGTTTCCTGTAATGTGATATGCCGTGACGAAGTTAGGGATTTGACGAAGCCATAACCTAGGTAATTGCTCGTCCATATCAACTGGTGCACCGACTTGAGATCTTGCCTTAGATCTCGTCTTAATTTCAATGATTGATTGCTGAGGTATGACCGCTCCGGCTGTCTCGATAGCGGGGGAGTTTGAAAGGTTCAAGCCATCTAGTTTAATAGCCGTAGTAGTGAAATCCTCTCTATCACTTGCTAAATAACCATCGCATTCAAAACGAACGAGACATTTCAACCCGCTGAATGAATAAGAGACGATGCGTTGATGCGATTTAGTTTCTTGCATCTTAGGTTCATAAGAAGTGAAAGAATCTAAGAAGGAATGGCCATATCCACGGACGTCAGGAATGACTTGATCGCGACAGTTACGAATCATGAATAAAGTATCTCCAACCATTTCAACATCGAATCTGAAGGTCAAATTGACCGATCGTACGAATCGGAGAATGTCTCCAAGGGAACTCGCGCAACCCATAATGTCAACTCCTGACGTGTCAAACCCTTCATTTAGAGAAAGGAGGGAATGAACAGAAGGCAACATGGGATGCTCAGGAAATCTTGCTCCGTTATGATCCCGAAGATAATCGCCATGATCTCCAGGAAGTTGTGAAGGTAATTGAGGTGGCGTCCATTTTGCTGGTTCTCCTATTTACCGTATTAGCATTCTGGTGGGCATTGATCTTGGTGACATACCTGGAATAATAATTTTGGGCGCTTTAGAATCGACTAGAGAGTACGATGCTGCGTATTTGCAATTGCTAATTTTTGCATCACCCGCCTGTGTACTATAATTCGAAGTAATTTCTGAAGTAATCTTCGTGATAAGTCGACCGAGAGGGGCATCATCAATAGTGCTCCTAGATGGTTGATCTTTGCTTCGGCTCGAGTTAGGGCCTTGTTCTCTCCCATCATTGCCTCGTCCTCGCCCTCGCCAGCTACCGCGGCCGCTACCACCGCGACCACGACCCCGCCATTGACCACGGGCGGTGTTCGAAGGCCCCCTAGGAATCAGCGTACTCATATTTTAATGGTGTAAATCGAGAATTTGAATAGATGGTGAAGAGTGTGTTGCTGAATATCTTTGGGATAGTAACCTTGGGATCACAAGATATATAAAATGATACCTACCTGTTTTCATAGGCTCGGACAAGTAGAACAGCGACGATTGCATATGAGGGACTGTGGCATGTTTATTGGACACGGATCCATGCACAATGAAATGCAACTTGCCGTTACACAACTTATTATTACCTACCAAGATTTGGTAAGACGAGTGACAGCTTTCTCTCGCCTTGCCCGCCATACCCCGCGAAAAGGCAACCAACCTCACAACGACCAATGGCTACTGAGAAGAGTTACGTTGGCATAAACTTCAGATTAACATTCGGATCGTACTTAACATTACCGAATCGAAGACTAACTTATTGATTTAAACATGAACTGCTGTGATGGGTGAGCTAAATAAGAAAGGGGGTTAATTATGAAATCGAATGAACAAGATAGTCAACCTACCAGCAATACACCTAAGAGGTACCTATACAGTGTTACTGCTTCAGGCTTTCTCAAAAGATAGTGCGAAAAGTGCATAATAAGTAGATGATCAGATATATTTACGAGCTTCAGCTATAGCAAGACTAAATAAATCTGGGATAAAAGATTTCTCTTTAGTATTCACCTAGTTGCTCTCCTACATGATTTTCAATCTCGCGTATCTATCCTATTCGTAATTAGGCACTTTTGCAAAGGAGTCAGATTAAGACCTATGCCTACCTCTTATACTACCATACTATCATCATGGACTTCCAAACTGATCAACAACAGCAACTGCCTCTTGATCATTACCCTCCATCCTCACCGTGTAACTTGCCACAACCTCGATCTAATGAGTAACAACAAGAACTTTCTATCGAAGATTTCATTTTCTGCTCTGGATCTTCGACAACGAAAATGGACCAATAGTTCCCTATTTCCGGAAGAAGAAGAAGAAAGATACCAGCCTTAGCTACTAACGTATTGTGTCAAAGAACCGTTCCAAGTTACTTTCTTGCCCCCGGAAAATGGCACAAATACGCTGCGCAATCAGAAACCCACTACGGTCTTTGGGTATAATAATCTGCGTGTACATGCTATGCGGAGACCCGTTCTGGGAAACCCGGGTTACGGACAGCTCAAAAGCATGCGTGAAGGACACGTTTGCTTCCCATACTTAATCGTAGAACCAAAAGACTACGACGGCGACATGATAGTAGCACAATACCCTATCTCGCACATCTTTACGTCATGTGGAGAGAAGTAATCGCAACTACTACTCCCACGGAAACGAACCGTTGTCCTGGTTACTACCTATATAATAAGATTGATTCATTTCAAGCTTCGCCTTGGCCAATCTCGAGCAATTCAAGAAATTTCGAACAGCTATTTTTCATATCCAGCATTGGGCAGTACACAATAGGCTAGAGCGGATCTTGGCTGGCATTGAGAAACGGAAAGCTGATGGATATCCTCGGCATGAGAACCAACCGGTTGGGCGTCGTGGGAGGGAGGATGATGAGAACGAGGGCGAATATTACTATGACGAGGACGAGGATGAATATTATTAAATAGGGTGGTTATATGGAATATGTAGTTGCTTTTGGGAGATAAAACGCGTGCGAATCTCATATCTAGTACTTACCAATCTGTGTATCTCTCTCCACATCCCCCTAACCCTAAACGTACTACCAAAACTAACCTGTATATGTATGTATAACCAGCCTCCTGGAACAGAAGCAAGGGGGCAGCATCGAGGGGCAGGATAGGAGGCTGGGGGCGATCCTCAATGCAAGTCATATGTGCGTATAGACTCAGAAACTCAGACACGACCACCACCATCCCTTTCTAGGAATGAAGAAGGCGGGGGAGCAGGAGAAAGGAAAAAAAAAAAAAACACTACCCCCAGACTTTTCAGAGTGAGTTAGTTTATCTGCTTCGCGGCATGAATCTCCCAGCCTCCCGTAACCGAAATATGGGAACACCCCCCCGGTCCCCCGGGACCCAACGTAACCCTAGCCGCCGCAGCGGAGCCGCGGAAACTTGTCATGCTAAGATGGGTCGACCAGTAAAACTTGGCCTCGAAGCGAAAAGAGACCTAAGCAGAAAAAAAAAAAAAAAGACCCTGGTGGCCGTTAGCGATAATGCTGGGTACCGAGAGCGCTTGGTAGTCCGTTTTCGGCTGCGAGGTGTGCGGATTGTGAGGGTTTTATCTACATACAACTTTGTAATAAGGCCACTGATCTGCCCTTTTTGGAAAATACCGGGGTTGGAAGTTCGTAATAGCTACTCTAATTAGGAGGTTAGCCAGCCCTGGGAGGTTTACAATAGTGTAGATGTCTACATTTGGCGTGTAAGGGGGACTTGCATGCATGAAGAATCTAGTGTCTAACTATCCAGCTACAAGTCACAAGTAAAGATTTCACACTTAGGAAGAAGACGAAGAGAATAGTAAGAGGCAAGATTATTGTATTTTCAACAATAGTTGATATCCAAAAGTATAACCGACAATTACCGCCAACCTATCAAGCGCATTTCGCGCGATATGGGATATCTTATCCAGGTATCCAGTACTCTAAAGCGCCTAAGCCTTTCCCTTTTGCACCACAATATTTGTCCAAAGTACAGCTAGGACTCGGTTCTCGAGATCCAGGAGAATAATAGATAGAAAAACAAAATAAACAGGTGAATGAATGGATAGAGCACGTGGACTTCACCTCCAGGTGCTGTGTAGTTTGCTTCGCCGACTCCTCGACGACTTGAGCCCGACATCCCCATTGATCATCAAACTCCTCCACCTCCGCCCGATGCTACCCCGGTCTTTGCCCAGACTCCGCGCGCAGTCCTGCCAATCCGTCTTGGAGAGTTTGAGCTTCTCCAGGACAAGCTCGACCAATATCCGGTCGTCTTCTTTGCTCCACCGCTCGCCGTCTGCTTCTACTTCTACTTCTGTGCCTTCTACCATACTCTCTTTGTCTCTAGTAGATTGTAAATTGTGAAAGTCTCTCCGCCCTAGACCCAGTGGTATTACTTCCGGCGCGAGGCGAGCGCGTTTTGGCGTACTAGGTCTGGCGCTTGATTCTTCGTTCTCCGAACCACTTATTTCTAGGTCGCTGTCCATGTCCTCATCACGACCCATGTCATCCTCGACGGCGCGGCGTCTTTTATTGACGCCGCGAGGTGGTGCTGCTGATCGCTTTACAACTCTCTTCCTAGGGAGAACTTCCCCATTGGTGTCTGTTTTGCGCGATCGCAGACGTAGTTTTAGAGGAGGAAGAGCGGTGTGGGCCATTGGCGGTGTAGGTAGCGGATCCCGACGCGCATCGATGTTGTCATTTGAGGGAATTGTCGCGGGTACTGTAAGCATAGATTGGAGCGCGCGGCATGACTGGAAAATGTTTCCGAGAGTGCTATTGTGCGCGCTCGTTGGGGGACTAGCAGGCGGCGACGCGAAAAGAGCAGATTGAAGCCTAGTAACAGGCGGGTGCGACGAGTCGCACGAAAGTGCTGACGGCATCAACATTTTGACGACGACTTATTCGAAATATTGCTTTGGTATTGCTTGTGCTGCAATAATACGTGCCGAGACGTTGCTCCAAGCGGAATGTGTTGCGAGATTTCGAATGCGACTGTAGCTGGAATGCGATGCGCGCAATGTAGTTAAATAATAATAGTTGCGTAAATAATTATATAACTTTAATATAAGTAATATTTAAATCGTCTGGTAGTCTTAATATTCAAGAGCAAGTCGCGATAGTAATGTATGTTATGTTGGAGTTGAGCGATGATTGTTATGCGACGGGAAACGCGGGCGATCAACGGACGGTTGCTAGGAGATGAGGTGTAAGTGGGAAAGTGGAAGCTCGGAGTGGGAAGACGGGAGGGCTGGAATAATGCGCCTAATAAGACCAACAAGAAAGAGAAAGAATCCCCCAGGAACGGGTCAAAAAACTGCACTGCCTGTCCAGGTTGCACGGATGGCCCACATGATACGTACCGTTTTCGGTCTAGAGGTGTACACTATGGGGCCAATACCTTAGTGGATCGGAACTCAGGTACTGACCTAGCTTAACCGCTATGGAGAGTGACCCGTCCATTAAAAAGTCAGGTACATCAAGGGAGAAGGTTAGGTACATAACCTAGACTATGAATGTACTATAAATGTACTATGTAGCTCAGACGAACCAGGGGGTAAGAGGAATAAGAGGAATAAGAGGGTAAGAAGGTGAGAAGCACTTTTACAAGGAAGCACTTATAGCCCGATTAAGACTTTTGACACAACCCTTACGCCATTGATTCTAAACCTTCTTAGTAATTTATCACCTCCTAACTCTTTAGCTCTCCTTGAAGATGGTGTGCCACGAGGAGCACGAGGGCACCTTGTAGGGCAGAAGAAAGGCCGCTAGACCTGATTGACTTATTCAGGTCCACTGCCCTTAAAAACTAGACGTTGTAGCTTCGTCTACGTTGGGAATAGTCTCACAATATAGTCTCAACCAAAATCTCCTTTTGCGATGGTGTGCTGCTACCTTGAGTAGCTTATCGTCAGATTGACTATTATATCTTCCTATCTAGATGTTAAAGTGTTTGACTGCAACCGCCCTTTGCGCCCTGCGAGTATCGAAGGGAGCTATTCTCAGGAATGTAACCGGGAATGAAAGCGCGTAATGGCATTTGGCGCGAACGGTCACCGTACGGTCACCGTCAAATTCCAGTCAGCTTAGGTGACGAAGCCTTAGAGGTAGTTAATCACTTTTCACCTATATACCTAATCTAGGTATTACTGGTCATCCTGTACATACATACTACGTAGTCCGATATCATAAGGCAACCAGATCTCGAACTTCCTGTCGATCCCTGCGTATTGCATGACGATTTCTTTGATTAGGATAGACTTGTATGTCGAGGTATATCCTATATTCGTCTCATCAAGTAGCAGCGGGAAACAGCCCGAGACCTAGGTACTTACACGAGACCACTCACATGGACTTACTATCAAGATGGATCACCCCTCCTTCTCACAATGCCCTTGCTTTAGATAATGCACGCAGGGCAATAGACATTAAAGAAATGAGTACCTAACTTTAGTAGGTACCTAACTTTGCATAATGTACCTAAGGTAGGCTCTGCATGCACTTTACGCAAAATTTCCCGGTTGGCTTCAACCGGTATTTGGTGCGATCGCTGGGCATGTCAATCATTATGGGGGGCAGTGGAAGACCGGCGAAAGCTTTGGGTTGAAGAGGAGGGGAAGAAGTGGAACTGAGTAAAATGTGGGAGATGTGGAAAATGTGGAAGACGCGTTGAGACGCGAATTCGACGCGTCAAATATTCATTCGCGTTTAATTGGATTTGAAGAATTGACCAATCAGTTCGTTTTATCTTAAAGCCATGTTCGTCATCTAACTTCTGATTGGTTTCATAGACCCTAGGCATTTTCTGACCGTAACGTCGTCCGATCTTCTTTTCCTTCACAGCCTGCATGTACTCATATGCAAGAGAGGATAGATATGGTTACATTTTACTTGCACGTGTCCTTCTTTGTCACTAGCATATGTAAGTTCATATCAAAGGAAAATCTGACTGATGACAGTTTAGATTACAATTTGGATAGCTAAGTGATAAATGGTAACACCCTCCCACCGTAAGCCAAGATGATAATGATATTCTTATGACCATGTAAGACACGAGAAATACTAACTTTTTTTCGCATTACTTAGGTACCTATTGCGTCACCTTCATTTTTAAATTTATTTCCCTCGATTTGATTTAGCTATGAGTTTCATCAGCCAAGCTAATGTTTGATCTACCCGTCGACTGCCGTAGCCAATCAGCTAAAGAGTCAATTCAGTTTCAAGAAAAGGTAATTAAGGGCAATTTATATTTAACTACCTTATTATAGAAAGTAACTACCTATCCCTATTGTCCAACAATAGTTTACCTCATATGGGAAGTTTAACAATAGACTAACTACGACTATTCTCTTTACCGTGCGTAAATACTCTTCATACTGTGTCATATTATTTTTACTGTCTTTTATACTGTACGGGCTTTCGTTAAACCTCTACATAGGCCTTCACATCGACATGTAACTTCATACAAATGATATTTCTTTCTTCAAAAAAAGGACCAGCTAAGAGATTACGAAGTCATTTGATACTAGATCAAAGCTCAACTCATATATCCTCAATTATTATAAGTGATGAGGTTATGAGTTCTAGTAATTAGGTAACTAACTAGAATACTGAATACCTACATGTCATTGTGTGCCTTTTTCCGACAGCTTGAACAAATGATGGCTCATAACTTGCCAAATACATTAGATGAAAGTCATCGTTTATAAGAATCATTCAAGTATATAATAATACAACTATAGTGCGTCATTACTATTATTTGGGTTTAAATCAACTATTTAATTTAGAGTCTGATATAAGACTATTAAAAAGGGAGAGAAGACCCTACGAATAGGTAAGTAGGAGAGTTGAGACTTAGGATTTAGAACCTCTACTCCTGTCAACGCTGTCTCTATGAAATATACACGTGATACTCACGTGACGCCTTATTCCTTTGAATTCGAGTTATAGAAAAAGCAAGTCTTATGCAAGATTAGAATTAGAATCCTATCCTATTGCATTGATACTCGACTCCAAATCGAGCTGATTGGCAAGAATAAACCTTGTGACTCTGTCTATCTGCACCACTTGGCCAGCTTATTTTCCAATTGCCTTGACGGCTTAAGTAACAAGAGAATCTTACATACAGGATGCCTTGATTACTCCAACCCCGCGTCCGCGTTCGCGTCTACGTTTGTGTTGAGGTGTTTCATGACTTAAATATTTACATTAATAATATAAAAAAATTTACTCTCACACACACATTTTCTATAAAAGGGGCTGCGTCTATTTCAAACCAAATTCTAGATTAGGAATGAACTGAGAAGCAAATAGTCGAAAAATGGCGCTCTTACGATTACCCAATGAACTCCTTACTCTCGTTGCGGGACACTTGGACACCAGGGATATTTCAATATCCTGTCGTTGTTGTCATGCTCTCCACCAAGCTTTAGATCACGTCCTTTATCGTCGGGCTGGTAAGAACATTAGCGTCCTTTTCTGGGCTGTTGAGTTGGGAAGAACCCAAGTAGTTATGAAGTTACTAGCAGCAGGCACCAACCCGGACCAGGCCATGTTCCTCTATCCTTCCCCTAATGCTTTTGGAAGCTCATCGTGTCTACAAGACTATGGGCTCCAGCTAGCTCTTTTAGAGCGGCAGAATCACATGCGGCGGACACTCATGAATAATGATAATAACACGACGCCATTCACGAATAGTGGGATTCGCACGATTCAATCACAACAACAGATCAATCAACTACCTTCACGGCTATGGACACCTCTCCATCTTGCTGCTCGTTTAGGTCATGACGATATCATCAACTTGCTATTGGATCATGGCGCGAACGTCAACGCCCTCTCTCGTGGATTCTGTGAATGCGGAGGCCCATATGAATCTGCTTTCAGGGCAAATTTAGACGAACTAGCGCATCCGTGGTGGATGCCTCTTCACACAGCTATAGTAGGTCCATGGACAGATATACCTAGCCGGGTATTCACTACATTTTCAATCGCTTATCCTTATATCTACCTAGTGCTATAAGAATTATTCTTCAGCCCAGATCCTAGTAGCCCGAGGTGCCTCTTTCCAGGTAGCATCAAGAGAATTGGGTTCTTCGAGCAATTACATAACAGCTCTACACATATCAAGCTCTGTAGATGCTCTCGACCTTTCTCAATTCCTCTTAGACCACTATCAACCATCAATCGACATTGAAGATCGTCATGGCATGAGCCCGCTTCACTGGGCCTACAAGGCAGGTCGTTGGAATATGATCAGCTGGCTGGTACAAAATGGCGCAAATATCAATGCTCAAGATAATAATGGCTGCACGCTGCTCTTGGATGCATGCGCGAGAGGGTGTTTCCGGGATGCACTCACTCTCATCGAACTAGGTGCTAACTCTAGTTACGACTCTAGAGCTACTTATTTACATTATTGTTGCGAGGCTCCCGGTACGTCCGTGAACAATTCAATTCTAGAAGCCGAGCGAGGGTATGCATCGACGAATAGTCGATTGGCGCTCGTAAAACGGCTTGTCGAGGCCGGAGTGGATGTTAATGCGAGGAACCTCAATGGCACTACCCCTCTAGCAGTCGCGGCCGCGGGGGGCTTAGATCTCATCGTGGAGTATCTACTCAATGCCGGAGCCGCGGTTGACGCCCGAGATTCTAATGGAATGACTCCGCTCATGAAAGCATGTACGTTTATAGGTGACCTGAATCATCTACTCCCAACTATTAGGTTGCTACTTCAGAGGGGTGCCTCGACAACCGACGTTGAATCCTCTGGGAAGACAGCTTTAGAGATATTATGCCGTTCAGGTGAAAAACATCCCGACAAGGTTACCATGGTCAAATTATTGTTGGAGTATGGTTCACCTCCCAATGCGACTAGCGATCCTACTGA